TGGTATACAATGAAATATTGGCCATAAAAGTAATAAAGTACCAACACATGACACAACATGGATGAATCCAGAAAACATTATGCTAAATGAAAAAGGATAAACACAGAAAGTCACATACTGTATGATTTATTTTGTATGAAATGTCCAGAATAGGCAAATCTGTAGAAACAGAAAGTTTATGTTTGCCCAGGGCTGGAGAGGGTAGGAATGGGACATGGAATCTAATGTGTACTGGGTTTCTTTTGGAGTGATAGAAAGATTCTGCAAGTGGATACTGGTAATGGTTTTACAACTTTGTAAATATACAAAACCCCCCTGAATTGTATACTTTAAAAGGGTCAGTCTTATGGGACCCTTTTATGATACAATGTGAATTGTATCTCAATAATAATAAAAAAAAACTATTAGAGATTTATTTCTTTTGCCAGAGCCCTTCTGCACATGCAGCTGGAAGAGGTGAGTGATGAGCCATAACTGGACGTTTATTCTGACATGTGAATGAGTTTGTTCGAGAACAGGGTGTGATGGGAGATAGGGGGGAGAGAACTGGAAGGGCCCAGGGTTCAGGACTGCTGAGACAGAGCAGGGCCACATCGGGAGGGGCTGAACAATTTTTGAAAAGGACTAAGGAACTAAGAGCAGCAATTGTGTAGAGTTCTGACGGTATCACCTTGTCGGGTAAAAGAGTGGTGGAGACGGCTCACACGTCATTACATGAAGAGTTGGTATTATTTACTAAAGACTAGTCTTCCAGTAAGTACCCACTGGCATTGCTTGTTCAAAGCGCCTAGGGTCCCAAAGTATCCCTGATTTCTTTTCAGGTGTTAGCTGCAGGTGCTGGGAGAGTTTGGTGCGTGGTGGGCATGTGTTTCAGGGAGAAAGGAATAATTCATTCACTTCTTTCCAACTCTGAAAAATCAGGTCCCTGCAGCTCTGAATTGTTGGAAAGATAGACTGGACAAGTCTGTCTACTACTCATTTTCTTTCTTTCTTTCTTTTTTTTTTTATAGATTTTATTTATTTATTTTACAGAGAAAGACACAGCGAGAGAGGGAACACAAGCAGGGGGAGTGGGAGAGGGAGAAGCAGGCTTCCCTCAGAGCAGGGAGCCCGATGTAGGGCTTGATCCCAGGACCCTGGGATCATGACCTGAGCCGAAGGCAGACGCTTAATGACTGAGCCACCCAGGCGCCCCTCTACTACTCATTTTCTAATTGTGTCATTTATCTAGAATTTAAAAAAGTTTGACCTCCAAAGGGAAAGTCAACACCGCTCAGCATGGTTGTGCCCATCCTCAGTGCCCCTTGTGGAGTGGAGGATGGACTGGATGATTGGGATACATTCCTTCTACCATGGTGAGGGTGAGGGAGAAAGACTTCTTCCTATACTTTGGGGTTAGGGGATCAGCCTGAAGGTCCGCTGCTGGGTATGGGGCAGAAAGGCTGCAGCCTCCCCCTTGCCAGGACCCCCCCTTGTATAAGATCCCCAACCGTGAAGTCCTCATTAGCAGACCAATAAATAAACAAGTAAAAAGATAATGTCACCCCTATGGAAAGGGGGAGGAGGATTAAAGACAACAAATACAATTCCCACATCAAAATAGAGCTGTTAAAGAAGACAGGACACAACTAGGATGAAAACTGGCACTCAAGGAAATTTGAAAAAAGTCACACATGCACACACCAATTCTGGGGGTTAAAGTAAATACGGCTTTTCAAGATTTCACTTGGTCATCTGAAGGCAAGAATCATCACTGGTTATCCTCAAACACTGGCCTGTAATATTATAGAGAGGAACTATCTCAAACTGCAGAGAAAAAAGATTTAGAGAGAGAAATTAGGAGGGAAAATAAGAGAAAACCTAACGGGAATAATTAGAGATCCAGAAACAGAATTGGAAGCAAAGACAGTAATTATGCATTAAAAAAAAATTTCTCTGAGCTAAAGGAAAACCTGAGTTGCAGATTGAAAGAATGCTGATGAGAAATTCTCATCAATTCTGATGAGAAAAAGACATACAACTGGGAAAATTTCCGAATTGCAAAACCCACAGAGAAAAATCTTCCAAACTTTCTAGACAGAAGTTACTACAATGAAAAAATAATGATTTTGGCATCAGCATCCAACTTCTCATTTGTTAGAGCGGGATAAAAAAATGATGTGGATTATGGTCAACATTGCTGAGGAATGAGCCAGAACGCAAGCATCTAATATATAATGTATTTGACAAGGTTAAGAAAAGATATTTTGGATAACAAGGAAGAATGGAGATTAAATATTGACCATGCATCCCATCTGAGGAAATACTAGAGAATTATTCCAGTCAAAAAATGAATCACAATCATGACCTCAGGATGGAAAATATGAAGGCAAGAGGAAACAGTGAGCAGTAAACCCTTCGATGTATATCGACACCCAACAAGCATACAAAGTCACGGCTACAGCTACATGGTTAATAATAGGCTATGTGGGCACAAAAGCCCACCCACACACGTCCATACCCACAATCCATATATATGTATAAAAGTCAAGTACAAATTCTTGACTGCAATATGTTCTACTGATGTTTCTTTCTTGAATAATAGCACTGCCTATAGACATTTTAAAATTTATCTTTAAAAAATAAATCTGACAAAATTAGTCCAATTAATAATTAAGATAAATGTCTGCCCAGGATTTGTTCTGTGACCGTAGCCTGGTAGTGTTCATGTCAGACTTTGACCAGAAAAGCAAGTGTTGTCCAGTCCCTCTTTTTGCTCAGCGGCTGAGACTTTTAATTGGCCTGTACTGTTCTGTTTTTGAGTATTTTCGCATTGTAGAAGTCCTGTGTTACTATTATAGTGTTTTCCCCTTTTAGTTCTTCTTGACATTCTCTCAAGTATATTCAAGCAAGGTCGCCTTTCTTTATGGAATATATATAGTCTGAATGCAAAAAAAAAAGTTAAGTGATTTTTAAAGAACTCTTTATTTTTTTATTTTTAAAGATTATTTATTTGAGAAAGAGAGCACAAACTGGGGGGGGGGCGGGGCAGGAGGGGCAGATGGAGAGGGAGAAGCTGACTCCCTGCTGTGCAGGGAGCCCCATGCAGGGCTCAGTCCCAGGATCCCGAGATCATGACCTGAGCCAAAGGCAGACTCTTAACCGACTGAGCCACCCAGGCGCCCCAAAAGAACTCTTTAATATAATCATTTAATTGTCTCAAGCTTGCTTTACTTCACTCCAAGAATGTAGCTGAAATTCATCATACATAAAGCTACTTGATGCCTCATATAATCAACCTGCCTAAGATAGCTATATGTTTCAGAGAGTTGTTTATTAGGATTATAATAATGTAAACATGCCCCTAATTTTAGTTGCTTTTAGAGGTCTTTTACATAGCTCTTACAGTACCCCTGAAAAACTCAAAGGAAACAAACATTGTCCCCCAAGAGTTTAACTACAACATTAAGATACACTGGATCACAGCTGAGATTCTCAGGGTGAACTTAAAGACCAGCTATTATGCCAACCAAAAAAACACTTCTAGAGTTTATACATATATTCTATGGACGGTGTATGCATTCATTAAAGTGGAAAGAATAGTATAATGATCCCCATTTACCTATCCCTTAATGAGAGCAATTATGACAGAATAAAAGAGATAATATTCTGTTGAAAAGGGGGTTACTACAGCCAGCCTGGATCCAGGTCGCCCCACGTGAAAGACCTTGGTTTTCTAAAATCGAATGTTAACCAGCTTCAGTAGGAATAAAAGTACTCATGGTGTTACGCTGTGAGCGTTAAATTCTCACCTCTGCCAAAGACCTCACACAATGTCCAGCCTGTGGAAGCCACTGGATAGATTCTTGGTTGCTGTTTACGGTTGGCAGGAAAAGATGTCGTCGACCAGCTAGTGTACACACCCAAGCAGGGAGGAAGTCTGACAGCAGATTCCAAGTGTCCCCACATTGAGGTGGCTTCCCTGAGCATCCATGAAACATATGCAGCCTGCACTTAACTGCCCCTGGTCAGATTTGGGGCACACTGGGCAAGTGCACTGCAGGAGCTACTCGTCATCGAAGGGAAGGAATCGATGTCCTGCTCTCCTGGGTCCGTCGCTGCTGTTCTTTTTTTTTTTTTTTTAAGATTTTATTTATTTATTTGAGAGAGAGAGAATGAGAGACAGAGAGCATGAGAGGGAGGAGAGTCAGAGGGAGAAGCAGACTCCCTGCCGAGCAGGGAGCCCGATGCGGGACTCGATCCCGGGACTCCAGGATCATGACCTGAGCCGAAGGCAGTCGCTTAACCAACTGAGCCACCCAGGCGCCCATGTCGCTGCTGTTCTTTAGCTATCCAACCTCGGTCGGATCCAAGTGAGGGCAGGGGCCACGATGGGGAGCAAGCCTAGACTTACGGAGAGGGGACAGAGACCACCATTGTGAAGGGGGAAAGGCAGAGGGAGGTGGGGTTCCTCCGTGACTCCTGCGCTTAGGGAGGGGCCTCTACGGGGCTGAGAACAGTGAGCCAGACCGAAGTGTAAATGGCGAGATTAGAACTGCGGTCGGGATTCCCAGAGCACTGTTGTCCCCGAGCTCAGGAGACATTTCACTGTAACCACCTAGAAGTGTAAATGGCGAGATTAGAACTGCGGTCGGGATTCCCAGAGCACTGTTGTCCCCGAGCTCAGGAGACATTTCACTGTAACCACCTAGATTATTGGCCACAAATCCTGTTACGAAATGTTGTGATGACCATTTGAAAAGCGCACTGGCAGAGGATTTAATTCCTTTGTGCGGCGTGGCTGCATCCAGGGAAGCTTCGGTTTGCCCGCACGCAGAGTTAGCACCTGCGGGTCACCAGCCAGGCCGCAGGTACCGGCCAGGGCCGTCTTTTCTTAAGGAAGGACGGACAGAGGATTCGGAGGGAGGGTCGGTTCGTCGCTACCGTGCAGACGCCGCCTAGGCCTGCGCCCCCGCCCATCGGCCCCGCGCCCTAACGTGTGCCCCCTTCTCTGCCCGCAGAGCCCCCCGGCGCGGACCCGGACACGCTGCGGGCCGGCGCGCGCGGCTTCACCGGCTGCCTCTCGGCCGTGCGCTTCGCCCCCGCCGCTCCGCTCAAGGCTGCGCTGCGCCCCGGCGGCCCCGCCCCCGTCACCGTGCGCGGACACGTGACCGCCGCGTCCCGCTGCGCGGAGGGGGCGGGGCCCGGAGCCCCGGCGCGGGAGGCCACCCGCCCGCTCGCAGGTGGCGCAGGTGCGTGCCCCTCCGCCCGCGGTCGCGCTCGCCGCCCGCGGTCCTCCACCCGGGCTCCCTCCCGGAGCTTTCCAAAGCCCTCTGTTGGTTCGCCTGGCCACGCTCTGGTCCTGGTTCCATGTTCATTTCTACCAGCGCAATGCTCTGCTCTTCTGTGGAATGTTTGTGAATGTCTCCAAAGTCCTTCCCTCTCGCCTCTGTCATTCTCCCTTTTTCTACTGTAGGTGGTTCTGGACCAACAGATGGGGGAGAACCCTTAGTTAATGCTGACAGAAGTGACTCTGCTGTCATCGGAGGTAACAGGGCTGTGAATGACCCGGTCCTTGGCGTTGTTGTCCCTGTTGGCGTAGACCAAAAAGTGTCTGAGAGTCCGCGCTGATGTGCGAGGTCAATGGCAGGCCACACACATTTGCTGATGTTCTTGATGGGATTGCACCCAAGTCAACATCTGCAGGCGCTTAGTGGAAGCAACCCGTGGTTCCACGGAGAGGCTTTTAAAAGGATAGTTGCCAGACTACGGAATAATGAGGTTTTTCATTTGAAAATACCCATTCATATTTCTCAGGATGTATGTGTGTATATATGTGACGTAGTCACCTTTACTTCTTCGATTCAAAATAGCCATGGACCTCTCAGTCCATTAGCCCAAAACCTTTAAAAATTATACTAAAATAAAACATCAGGTGAGAGAAGCGCCTAAACTATGCAAATTGTCATTTTCGTAAATATAAAGATAGGAAACTTAAAGATTTCTCTGAACATAAATATACAAAACTGTTTCTGGTATCAGTCTTATCTTAGATTTATATATATTTATTTATATTTATAAATAAAATTATTCATGTATATTTGTATAATATATATACTTTTAGTGTCACATGGATTCTATATATGTGACATTAAAACTGGCTATGCTATAACTCTTTAAAGCAAAGTCCTATAGTTAAACTATATATGTATTTAAATATATATTCATATATAATATATATTTATATTTTCTATCTATTTATATATATATATTTGAAGAGGTAAAAATAATTACATCTTAAATATCTCCCAATGTATTCTCTGAAACAATTTATTTGGGTCTGATTTAAAGAATGAATATTCAAGTTTCCTCCTTATGATTCAGAGAACATTTACATTTATTTATTTAGATTATTGAAATGTGTCAGTTGCAGACTCTGCTTGGTAAGGAGGAAGTGAACTGCTCTCCATTTCATTGCTATTCCAAATAAGGGAATTAGTCCTCGAGCTGGGGGATGCAAGTGGGTGTCCACTCTTCAGGCAGGCTGTGCACCAGGTCAGATTGGATCTGCTCATTTCGCTCTGTTCATCAAGACGCCAGTTTTCTCCAGACTGTTAGGAAGGTATTCAGACATTTTCAAGCCCTGAACAAATCTATGTAAGACTGTTAACATGTCCCTCCCTATCTCAATTACTTCTGTTTTTGTAATGAATGAGGTATATGATCCCCTGATTTCACAACTCCAAGAACAAAAAACTTATATGTTATTTATAATGTATATCTAAAAGGAATACTTTTGTGTTAAAATATAAATCAAATCTTAAACCTGAACCATTCTCATTTATTTTTAATGAGAAGACTTTGCTATAAAGCAAAAGCTGACTTAAAATAAATCGACTTAAACGTGATTAATATTTTCAAAATAGGAATCAAAATCCCAAAATGCAAAATGTCATGGTTGGTGCCATTTTTAGAGGGAGCAACGATGATAGGTTGGTGATAGAACAGAAGATGTGGTCTTTGGGGCTTTATTGCGTTTGGTTAGATATCATCGGCAAGTTCTACAAAGTAAATAAGTTGCACCAATATTATTCCCCTGAGAAATCCTACTTGGCTCCCGATAGACCGGATGGAGAATCAGAGCACATGGGCTGTTAGGGTGGTAACAACTCAGGTTACTGGCCCCTGCAATTCACTTGGATCTGCCTTCTATCTGTGCGGTGGCCGTTTGCCGTGTGGTTTGTCAGCTGCCAAGTGTATTGACCCACACCGTAGAATTCTGGGTAGAATTCTCAGCCCTTTGTCGAATTGATCACAGACTGCACCCACATGTAAAGTACTTGATCTGTTTAAAGGATTACTCCTGTAGGTGGATTTCTGTATGTTTTGCACTATGCTTTATCACCTTCTCCTCTTGCAAGCCAAGGGGACAATATAGGAAAGGAGAATTCACCTAAATAACGTTCACACCCAGTAAACCAGGCATCACAGGGTTTTCTTGCCAAGAGAGCCATCATGTGGATGGACAGATAGAGAAAGAGACAGATGTGTAGATACATGCAGAGGCAGGCAGACCTTAGTGCTTGTCACAAACACATTTACACTGGAATTGCTGAAAGGAAGGTTATGGAAGGCATCCGATGCATTATTCAAATTATCTCCATCTCTTCAGATAGCGGATGAAGACAGAGGTTATTCTAGGACCCTACCAAACCTCACAAAACAAACAAGCTAGTAATCAATTACGTACATAATAACATCCTGGATGTTTGAGGATAATGGTGACAGTAATTGTGTAATCAAGTGTCCTGATCTGCTGTTACTGAGTTACTGTCCCTGACCCTAAAATTGGATGTGATGTAGCTCTTTAAAGCAAAGTCCTATAACGAAACATAAAAGTAATTAAAGCAACTCTACTGTTTGTTCTCAAGTGAGATGCAAAATATATTGAAAGTGATGATTATTCTACCTATTGATATTCAAGAATCTTTCAAAAGGTTCTTGAGCACTTGCTCAGGAATCCCTGTGACCAAATACACCCAACCAAGCTTCGAGTTGGTTGGGCTCCATTAGCTTCTTTATGTCTGTCCCAGAGTATAGTGAAGAATCTTCATTTTATAACACAAATTTTGATTCACATAACAAAACAGTAATGTGTTTTCTAACATTTGCTAATTGGAATATTAATGCCTGTGTCAGTCATCTTAAAAGTATATTGACTAGTGGATGCTTTTTTTGGTACCTCCTTGTTTTGGTATGGATTAAACACTCATTCTTTATGAATATGATAGCTTGAACAAACACTTCTAGGCCTCATTTGACCGTCCCAAACCTGGCAGGGTTTTAAAAAAAATCTGAGGAACTTTTAAAACAATATTGATGTCCAAGCCTCCCACTCAGAGATTCTGAGTTACCGTCTGCTGTGCACTCAAAGTTGGGGACCACTGGCATAGTTAATGCATTCGGTGCTTACAGCATTACCAACAGGAGATGTCAAATGATCTACTTTCCCTATAGCTGAATGTTATCTATATTTTTACAAATTTCTAATATGGTGGTATATCGGTTATCTATTGCTCCTGACAAATTACCACCCACTTAGAGCTTAACCCAACCCACTTTTATTGTGTCCCAGTTTCTGTGGGTCAGGAGTCTGGGCACAGCTTGGCTGGGTCCTCTGCTCAGGGTCACACAAGCCTGCAGTGAAGGTATCAGCCAGGGCTGAGGTCTCATCTGGAGATTCCTCTGGGGAAGGATCCCCCTCCTCACCTGCATGGGTGTTGGCAGCATTCAGTAGGACCGAGAGCTTCTGGATTTTTGCAGGCTGCCTGCAGTTCCTTGCCATGTAGGGATTCCCATATGGATTCCCACCGTGACTGCTTGCCTCCTTACAGACAGCAGGAAGAGGGACAGTCCCATAAGACAGGCGCTACAGTCTTATGTAACATAATCACATAACCCGGTAGAGCTTATCACCGTTGTTGTATTTCGTTGGTTAAAAACAAGTCACAGGCCCTATGCACAAGCAACTGAACGGGATCTCACATAAGGCATGGCCCCCCAGCAGCAGAGATCACTTAAGACTCTTTTAGCCTCATAGAAACAAGTGGTATACTCACTGCAGAACTGGTAAGTCAGCAGAACATCAGCGCCAGATTTTTGTTAACAGACTTACACGTAAGCATTTAATTACTCTATGACAGGGCTATACACACTATCCTTTTAAAATAATGAAAACGTGCTTGTTCATTAGCATGCAGTGTGGGCATGACCTAAGAGGCCACGCTGTGGTTCTGAATTTAAGCATGAGGGCATTAACTGAACGCCAAGCTGATAGAGCTTCAGCAAAAAAGGCATCAAACTGCTGTATCTAACGGATGTACGGACTTAGAAGCAAACTCAGTGTTCTAATACCGCCTAGTTTCCAATTTTCTGGTGATGAATATATGATGTAAACGAAGTTTTATAACATCTGTATTATATCTATCTATCTGTCCACAAAGTTTGTATTCTGATTATATTTTTCCTCTCTCCTCTCTCACTAGGTGTGATAGTGGTTGTGATATTTATCTTGCTCAGCATCACTGCCATAGCCCTACGCATTTATCAGCAGAGATGGTTATACCAAAAAAATGAGTCAAATGTTCCCCAAACCGGAGACAACGCTGAGACTGCTCTGAAAAGTGAGGTCAACCTGCAAAGTACAATTAGTGAAAGCCAGAAAGAATATTTCTTCTGAGGGGCCGCGGTGGCTTACTTAGGGCTCTGGTGACGCGATGAGTTTCTCGCTAAGCCAGGGGCTCCCAGTGGGTGAAGCCCACCCCCTCCCGGCCCCCTGGGACAGGTGATGGTTGTGTGGTCCTGGGAGGCTCTGCTCTGCGCTGCCTCACGATCTATTTATGTAGAAGTGACTTAGGTGTGCTCGTTAATCCCTGTGTGGCAGTTTCTGACTGTTCTGGCCCGATCGTCAAAAATTCAAATGTATTTTGCATAACGACTTTGGGTTTTAAGTGAAAACAAGGATTTGAGCTGTGGCCCTACTCTCTTAAAAATGAGACACGGAAGTTTATAAAAGTCAAAGTTGAACTCTAGTGTTTTGTGTTGTGTGGAAATCTGTTTTACTTCCTTTATTGATCACCTACTGACATTTGAAAGCTGGGAAGTGCTTCTTGGATGGTCTTCGAGTGCGTTTCCATCTTCCGGTGAACCAGAGCCCACTGGCCAAAAATGCACTAGAAACCTAGAAAAAAACATTTTTTTTGGCCAATTGTTTTTATTATTTGTCTCTTTTAAGTTAGTTTGCATACATTTTTAGTGATGAAATGAGTACTGAGTGTCAGTTATGAAATTGTAGTATTCTGTTCATTTATGGAACAGAAAAATTCGTAAGTAGCAGAGCATGTAAAGCATTCCAGTCTGCAGTACTTCGCTTATTTTTCTTTGTAATTGGTCATTTTAATCTTTGTAAATTATGGTAAAGATCATCTGATGATCTCCCCAAAATGTATATTTTCTAACTGAAGTTGTGCCCAGGTATAAACTCTGTACTTAACACTGTCAATGTATCCTTCATCCATTCCATTGGGAAGAAATATAATCCTGAACTTATTTCCTTCAAATGTGGGGTGATTAGGTCACTATTCTTTGCAGTCCTGTGGTTCTCTTGTTCTGAAGGTTATCACAACAGTTTGATTTCTTGCGACTGTCTTTTCATTTACTTGGGAAAAGTCACATTTTGAACTAAAGCTCTCCATTCCTTTTTCTAAATTTTGAACCAATCTAGGCAAACCATCTCCTGAAATACCATCTTGGTCTAGTTACCATTTGGAATATCAGTGGAAGGATGCTTACGCTGAGGGAAAATGCAGGTTGTAGGATCTGAACTAAATCTGTCATTCTGGTCAAGAATCTAGGATCTTGGAGTCAGCTTCCATCAGTGTACCCAAAATCAACCAGTTCGTTTCATATTTGGGGATATTTGCAAAGTAGGGGAGCAAAGAATTTGTATTAACCATGGGAATTGTTCCAGTAACTACTCATGTGGCAGGGGTCGTAAGATAATTGCATGGAGCCTACCATTTGCACTCACTAGCCCGTTATAAATAAAATGTGCTACACTCTTGATATGCCATTTGCCATGTGCCTGCCAGGAATTAGATTGCTTCCTTTGACCACAACGGGACCACCCGGAACTCCATACACTTAGCCTTGCTATGACCTTTGAGTCTTTGAGTGTATACCTATTTTTCTGTGACTTTTTTAAACAACAGAAAAAGATATCCTCTATCCTAAGTCTTTTCTCAAAAAAATACCTTCTTTCTTATGGTTTCGTATTAGTTTTCTATGAGGTTTAACAAATTACCACAATTTAGTGGCTTAATGCAACACCCATATATTATCTCACAGTTTCTGTGGATCAGGAGCTGGGCATGGGTTTACTGTGTTTTCTGCAAGGCTGCAGTGAAGTATCGGCCAGGACTGTGTCCTCATCTGGAGACTCAGCTGGTGAATCCTTGGTCTTATGGTTATTGGCAGCATTCGGTTCCTTACTGCTGGAAGATTCATGGAAGCCTGCTTCTGTTCAAAGCTAGCAAGAGAGAGAGAGAAAGAGAGAGAGAGAGAGACTCTAGAGCAAGTCTGCTAATAAGAGGGAGTTTCATATAATGTAATGTGGTGATGGGAGTGACAGCCCATCCCCTTTGCCAAATTCAGTTGGTTAGAAGCAAATCTTAAGTCGTGCCCACACTCAGCAGGAGGGGATTACATAAGGACTTGAACCAGCAGGCTGAGATCAAAGTTAATCTACCACAGTACTATATCTTTATTGAAGTTTCTTTAAGTGAATAATGAAGGATTTTCAGGGTCTCAATATAGTAATATATGAAGAACCTACCCTGGTGAATAATATACATACTTTTTTTCCCGAAAGGCCTATGCAGAGTGGAGAAGGATTCAAGACAAAAATGGTAGGTTCTAGTTAATGCATAGCTGAATTTTAACACCCTGAAATCACTGCAACTTTAACAAATGATCATACTAAGTTCCGAAAATGTTAATCACTTTGATAGCTGGCGTTTTGCAAATTTATAGACAGTGAAATTCATGGTATTCTGCTCTCTTTTTAAAAGAGAAAACAAAATATTTGTACCAAATTGCAGTGATATTTCACCCACTTTCCTGATTTGTAAACTTTACCTGCTTATTTGTTAATAAAATAACTTTTTTGAATTAAATTAGGAAAATATTTTTAAGAGAAATTGAGTGAAATTTGAATTATGAAATTATATTGTTTTTCCCCTAAAATATTAAAAAATGTGCAAATGTATATATTCTGTTATGGTGTGTGTACTGCTTTATCTCTACTGTATATAGAGAGAATACTATGCTCTGTTAATATCATTTGTGATGGTATTTAAATTATCAAACACAAAGTAAAACATAAAGTACCTAATATGTACTGATTATTACAAGTTAAAATGCCTATGAATGTAGATATTTAAACCTTTACCAGAGAACAATAATTTAACAATCAGTAAGTTATTTGTCGAATGTTTACTATATACTCAAAACTGGTTGCACAAGATTTCCCCCCAGAGCTGGGTTTCTTGAGCACTATAAACATACAAATTCCAGTTTGCAAATAACATCCTTCTATGAAATAAATGTTAAAAGATAATAATTCCCCAAGTTTTATTTTCAAATAGAAAAGGAAAATAGTGCGTAATTAACACTTATTATTGGGACTAGAACTTCAGAACCCCTGTTTACTCCATGTTGAAGTAAAGCCCCCCTTCACTACCTCCCCAGTATTATGTAGCAATGTAGAAAAACACATTGGGGCATTCTGTGTGTCTAGAATAATCACTACTTCTGGAATTTTTCATTTCCTTTCCTTACAGAACATCTGATAGATAATTGTTTTCAGTGGATTTTTTAAGAATCAAATATAAAGTTCATGTTTCTTGCCTTGAAGGAAGACAAATACGATTGAAGTGTTTTCTGTATAAAGTATAAATTAGCTCTGATGATGCAACTGGAATGTTGAAATAGTCTTCCAACAAGGGGGATGCAGCGGACCCATAGTAAATGAAAACATGTTTATTGAATTGCTTAATCTATTGTTTTGCAATCCATGTAACTAACATGTTTAAGGAGTCCCTCGGTGCTTTCAATGGATCCTGACTGTCTTCTTCTACCCCAGCCTGGCTCATCATGAGTGGCAACATGGAAGGAAGAATTAGAAAGACAGTAATAAACATGAAGTGGTTTGCACTCCAAATGGTGGGGAAATGGCTACCCTGGAGCCCATGGGCACATTTTCAAGTTCTAGGGCATTAACGGATTCTGTACACATTGAAAATACTTACTACAGCTGAAAGAAATATTATTAGTGATAGATCTTTGGGCTACTTAAACCTACATAGGAGTATTACGACTTTTTGGCGGGATGAAAATATTCATAAGCACTGGTTTAGCAAATTTAAGTCCAGAGAAAGTTCAAGTTTTTATAAAAAACAACAACAACACAAAACAATTCTCATTATTCTCAGGATCATAGAGAGTTCCTGTTAGCAGGGACATTAACCATCTTGCCATGCAGTCTTCGTTTCCCCTCCATATAGGCCATCGAAGCAAGTCCAAGTTGCTTTTTCCAAGGAAACACTGTTTATTAGGAGTGAAGTCAGGTTGCAAGAGCCTTGTTTCTCTCTACAGGTTCTCCGGGGTATAGCTCCGGCTACAGTTACTGCCGAGCATTTTGTTGGAGCATCAGCCATAATACGTGGTGTAACTTCAGTAAAAGTACAGATTGTGTTTTAGGAAGACTGGTCTGTGTGGCTAGGATGTGTGGCAGGATTCATCATATGTAAAGCACACAGCTGGGAAAGTAAGCTCAAGGGCTACTTCCTATGAAACCTTCCACTTCAGAATTACTAATAATGTAAGACATTTGCCATCCTTTGTGACCAAAAAATGATATATATTCATTTTATTGTATCATTATATATGTTAAAAGGATGAGACCCTTTACTCAGTTTATCATGTCCTTTGTGAATATGCCCCTTTCTCAGGTCTGCACTTGCTTTTAGACTTGGAAAATGAGATTTCATAATGTACTTAATATTGAAGACATTTCTTAAGATAGAACCTTTATAGCTGCATATGGTGCTTTATGTCACTAACAGATCTGTTATCTACTTGGTCATTTTCTGTGATTCTCAGAACCAATTTAACCTTCCTATTTTGAGTGCAGGACTTACTTTTTCTAAAACTCATCATAGTTCCATTTATCCAGCTTTTCCTACTTTGACACATAAACCTGTAGGAGCTCCTTAGAAACAAAGATGAACTAAATTGTTTAAGCAGAAAATCCACTTATCGGCAATCTAATTCTAATCAAAATTACTTGTAAAATAAGTTTGGATAACGGCTACCTTTATCTCCTTTATATCAAGTTTTTACTTTATGCCTCTTCACAGTCTCAACTTGTTCCAAATACCTATAATTATCATGATAATTAGTATTCGCTCTTGTCTCTCAGATTGGTATCCCCTGACTCCATTGTTCTTCCAGAATTATTCCCGGACATTAAAAAAAAAAAAACAAAAAACAGCAAACATTGTTTTCTGTCAGCAACATGATGTTCCATAACGTCTCTCATTTCTCTGTCCCGAGACATGGAATTAGTTGCCCTCAAGGAGCGGTCTTTCTATCTATTAAAATATAGGAGCACCAGGGTGTGTATAAGAATGTTTCCCATGCATCCTGTTGGAAGGGAGGACTATGTCATTGCTGGGCCACTTTAAAGACAAGGTTGGAAAAAACATTTTAAGATAATGAATTCAAAGTACTATTTCTGGTTTAAAGCTAATTGTGTTCATTTATTTTCCTAATACAAAGTGAATCAACCCATGGGAAGGGCTTAGCACAGCCCTTAACCCACAGCGAGTGCTATTATAATTTACTGCTTCTGTTGAGTCAGTTGATGCTTTGGAGATCTCATATATATATAAAGTGAACTGAAATGGAAAGTAAAATGATTATTTGGCTATTTTTTTTTCAATATAAACAGTTGATTCAGATATCTCAGGCCCCATGGGAAAAATTCATTAACTGAAAGTAACTGGTTAATTGCCATTTCACATCCATCTAAAAACATTGGAGCCTCTTTTAATCCATGGTTACAGGGAAGTAACAGGAGCAGCAGATGTGGTCCTCCACATCAGGGGATGCTCACAGTTATAGGAGCAGGAATCAGCGGTGCTAGACCCCAATTTCCAACCTCATTTTGGGAATGCACACAGAGATCAGATTTAAGGAGAAGGACCCCGTGACCTTGGGTTTTTAAGCCTTGTGATTACAGAAGCACCGCCCTTCCCTTGTTATATGCAAACGCAGGCATTCAAACCAGAATCCTACACTCCTGAGAAGATTTGTGAAAAGGGAGTGCAAAATAAAGACACTTTGGGTAACAAAAAGTGAATAAGTCTGCCCCATAAAGATCTTCATCAATGGAATTTTTTAAAGCAACACAGCTCAGTAGAAATTTCTACGAAGATAGAAAAGTAGCCACCATATGATTATCATATGGTTTCACTTATTTGTGGAACATAAGGAACAG